TATATTCGATAGACAAGCAGATTGTACTCTTGGGTCTGTGTACTATATTTATGCGTGTGTTTCGTTTAATGCTGGTAGAGTGGTGGATCGGGTGGGGGCTTAATGGTTAATTTATTGTGATCTCTGCAGTTTAATGAAATTCCGTTAGATGGTGTTAACATATATGTTTCATTTATTTTAGTTTACTTCTAGTAAACATAGATATACAATATACGTTTAGCATCTCAGTTTATCAGATTATCCAGAGATACTTTGCACAAATGAGTTTTTAATTTCACTTATCATTTGATACCGATCTGAACCAGTATGAAGCTTAACTAAATAATTTACAGTCAAATAACGTAAATATATATGCCTTCATAAAACAGAAGAGAATTATTATACTCAAAAAAGTAATTTAAATATGTGCGTGTTACAGTTGTATCTTAGTATTAAAGTATTGAATACTTGAGTATTAAGTAGATTTTGTGGGTAGATGATGACGAAAAAAATATACATTGCAAACCATAACTGCATATATTCGTATCTTACATTAATATCTAGAATAAATATAATTATAATTAGAAAATACTGTACAATAAATAATAAATATTAGGAGGTCACTATTTAATCCCAACATCACATTGTGGTAGTTTTATATAAAAAACATAAGAAAATGAAGGTACATCGATTGTTTTTATTGCAAAATTCAAACTTATTAATATTCTAGTATCTATAATATGTTGGGGAAGGTCTATATTTAAACGTTCCCAAAAATATATCATTTACTGTTCATATTTGTGTTGTCATAAGAATCTCACAAATAGTTCAGTGATATATAGACCTGTTCGACTTCTAATAACTGAGGCTATATTTATATCAACAAGTTTCAAGATATACTTTAAACAAATTTGCATAAATCCATAACAATTAACAGAATTATGCATTTCATAAATTTATCAAACAATTATTGAGCTCAAATATTAGCAATAAGTCCAATAGATTAAGAAATCTGCTATAAATTCAGAGTCTTCACAGTCTGGGAAGTTTATATATATTTACCAAATATTCTAAAATTGCCATTGCACATTATTATTTGTTTTGATCATCACAACACTCCTATTGCAGACTTAAAATAGATCACAAGACAGAATTGTGAAAAGTATCTCTGCTACACATTTTGGTTGATAAAATTATTTCAAAAATTATAACAAAAAAATGAATATATCATATGCAAAACCCATAGATTTCGAACGTCATAATATCAGTTTTTTATTTCCTATTTGCACGACACTGTATATCCACTTCACTCGTTTACCATACAAATTTCTGAATCGTCCAATTTCAGCTACTTTTATATATATATTCCATTTATATTTTTACTATATTGTTTGGCGTTACCATTACGTTAATTTTACACGTTATGCATAATGTTGCCAAACTGTTATAATTCTGTGAAAACTATAGTGAACAATCTATGATTACGAGGGATGGTGGGGCTTGATTAAGGATAGAGCTTAACTGCTGTTCTTATTTCGCTTTTATTTTTATTTGTCACTTTTCATATAATATTTTCCATTCCAGCCTAATCCAATATTTTGTCTTTCAGATCCCAAACGCATTCAGTTTTTCACACGCCCTGCAATCAAAAACGCATTCAATCCAAAACTAAATGCAAATGCAATTGAAATGCACTCCACGCGTGTGAAGTTCATCTTCATTAACGTTGATCCAACGCCATTCGCAATCATTCCGCAGGTGAATGGAAGTCAATTTGGGCGTTTTTATGTGACTAATTAAAGTCACATTAGAACAATTAACGAGTGCGTAAAGGCGTAAAGTAATTGCAAAATTTTATGTCCTCCATAATTAATGACTGCCATAAATAATTTCGGACATTGAAACTATTTCCGTTTGTTGTGTTGTGTTTTGTACAAGTATTCCACATATTAATAATCAGAACGGCTAATTCCCAAAAAGACTAACTTCTGCAATTTTTCGCAAAAGTATCTGGCAAGGATCTACTAAAGCACTCTGAGTTATTAGTGTCGATATATCAAAATTATAGCGGCAATTAATCTGCATCATAAAAACTTTATAAAGGCTTAAGCTTACATTTTATGGTGCTTCCTGTGCTCTTCTGTCTACCATTTAGTTTAGGTTGTGCAGTCGGAAGGCATTTACGGCTTATGGTGTATAAGAGAGAAATCTGCTCATCTCCTCATACTGCCGAAATTATTCATATAAACTCCCAAACAAATTGCGTTGAAACAAATTTCATAGGAAAAGATACGCAACACATGTACACAGTTTCATTTTATCTGATTAAGGCACATTTCGCACATTGGAAACGTGTCCAGTGGAATGGACGACAAAAAAAAAAAATAATAATAAATTAAATTAAAAATAAAATATTATAATTTGGTTATTATATTAATTAGATATTAGTTGAGAAAGTAATTTTTAATAAATTTATAAAATGGATTCCAAAGACACTTAAAAATAAATTTTCATAACACTAAGACTGCTTTTGGCTTTACCTGTGCTTCAATGTCCTGTAGACAGATCCATAGTGGTGTAGCTAATAACAAATCTATATGCTTTATAGAAAGCGGAAAATGGGTGATAACAACAATTTTTTCATTTATATAGAATAAAAAATAAAACATGGATGCAACATGAATTATTGATTTCCAGAATAATTAGAGAGTCATGAAATTCTTTATTGTGGTTTTGCCGCCAACTAAGTGCAATAGCAGATATTTAAGAAACATATCTAGGTCTGATAGATTCAGATCTGATAGGAAGATATCTGATATAAAGTATTCAATTTTCAATGTAAAGTTAAACCTTGAAAGCTACTTAACGTGGAAGTCATTCATAACTTATACCCGTTTGGGGTTGTAGCATCTTAAAAACATTAGCCAATTGTCGATCATGTAAATTCGTTTGGCTCTATATAAGAGTGTCTCATGTTAGACTTTCAAGCCAAACTGTGCCGAATGCCTTCTCAATATCAAAAGTCATCCACTGCTATTATGAAAGTCAACCTCACGAAACTCACAAATAAATCATGTTTTTCGTCTGACATGAAAGGCTTTGTTATCAGAAGCAAAGGACTTCAGCTATTAAAGTTCCGAAAAGTTTCCTCATTGAGTAAATCAAAGGCTATATAAATGTGAAAAACATTGTCTTTTCTCACTGTTGTGACAAGTAACTTTGCAAGTATGGATGATTTAAAAAGTTTGCGCACTTCTTAAGGAAGATGGATGAGAAACAATGTGTGGTGTAGAATGGTATGTTGTCAAGGCCAACTTTTTGAGTCTAAGCATGTTCCACTGGTCAGGCGAAGAGAGTAACGCTTGTGAGTCTTTAAGATTCGTACAGTGGGCAAAAAACTATTGGAAGAAATTTATATAATTACTGAAACTTTAAAAGGCTTGAAACTCCAACAACATGATAATAAATACTGGAATGTAACAGTAAAATTGTATTATTTATAAAGATCTCAAATAGAAGTGTAAGTTCTGAGTTGTATTTCGAGTCCACACCACACACCCTTGATTTTTACTTGATACATCAAAACCACTCAATTAAGATATATGTATAAGCAAAAATTTTGCATTTGGTAATCCAATTATCCAAAAGGCTAATCACATCTTATAATAAACATCAATAAATTAATACGTCTAAGAATATAAATTACTCGCCTTACCAAGGCGTTCAAATGAAGCTACTTAACTGCAAGCGACTGGCATAGAATATTCACAAAATACTTACTTCCTGCAACGAATATGCCAAATACTGTCCATAACACCGCAAACGTACGGCAGGGACGAAAAAAGAAATGTTGGAAGCCATACAGAGCAAGTTGAAGAATTAGTGAAGATGGAAATAACCTACCCGAAAAAATGATTGGTTTTGATAATATTTCATTCATAAAAACACAAAGCCCAACAAATGTGAATACTAAAAAAAAGAGAAAGAGGGAGGAGAAGAAGCACGAAAAGAAGAAAAAACATTGTTCGCAGTATACTTGAATGCTTGCCCCAACATGTCATACACAGCGATTCTACCAGTCTACATGGTCTCATACAGTAGCAGCTAAGAGCGAATATTGCACAATCATAAAAGCGTCTGCTAGGCAGCCAGACAGCCAGACAGCCAGACAGTCAGTCAACTAAAAGATACAAAGCCACACAGACGAACAGCTGAACAGCTGAACAGATGCCTATCAAACCTATTCTGAGTTTCTGAAAGAATGGCAACTAGCAAGTAAGCAAGTAAGCAAGCAAACAAGCAACCAAGCAACCAACTTAAGACAAGAAGACGAGATGAGAAGATGAGGAGATGAGGAGATGAGGAGAAGACAGAAAGGAAAAAAACAAATCAAATCTCTTTTTTGCATCTCAAGGTAAAGTGTGGTGCTTACAACACCGTTTGGTAAGGTTAAAAACCCCCCATCGAACATAATACAACCAAATTGCTACGTTAGCTGCCCTATGCCAAGCAATCAGCTTGCAACATAAAACTCTTATACGTCAAACCACGGGTCGAGTATGAACGAAACGAAAATCGAATGAGTGAACAGAAGCGAACGAACCAACATCCCAACATCCCAACATCGAACACACAAGCCGAGCAGTAGTCGAAGTTGTCGCATAAAATATATGCACACGCTTCAATTTCGACTATTCGGTACGGTGTTTGGTGCTGCGAAGCACCAGCAGAGCGTCAAGCGTGTCCAAAAAATAACGTTACACTCAAATATTCAAAATTCAAATTCAAATTCAAAGATATAAGATACAAAAATAGTAGAGTAGTAACGGCGAACGCATCAGTTGGCTATAATCGGTCTTAACCGTTGGACATAACGTGCGCTGCAAATGCAAATCAAATCAACAAAGTCAACAAAGCATAACATATGAAATTGGCTTTCTTAACAACAATTCAAATTAAATTAAATTAAATTACATAAAATTAAATTAAATAAAATTAATTAAAATTAAATTTTCTAAAAGAATAAAAATTTGATACAGTAAAATTTGCATTCAAAGCTTGCAAAGCAGTGCAGTGCAGTGCAGTGTAAACGATTCCGGAACGGTGAAGAGTTTTTAGATTTCCGTGCCGTACCACGGAGGTAAAGCCCAAAAAAGTTTCTGTTTCTGTTTCTATTTCTGTTTGCGTTTGTGCTTGAACTTGGAAAGCGCAGAGCCGACCGCGTTGACAAGTCTACCTTTGGGATTTCATATATCTTATCTTATCGGTCCGGCCCGGCCCGACCCGTTCGTACCCCGCGTGACGGTGCGTGCATTCAACGCAACAATTTGTTGCTGATTGTCGAAAAAAGTGGACATTGTGTGACAACAATTTTTAATTGCTGAAGAGAAAAAAATTCAAAAACATAAACAAAATATTTGAAAAATAATCGAAAATCATTAAAAATCGTTAAAAATTCCTCTGCCTCAATTCTATCAAAAAGTATTTCAACTTATCAAAAACGTAGCGGAAGTTCATTTTAAATTTCAGCAGGTGTGTTTTTTTTTTTGGATATTTTGTTTAAAAGAAGAATTTTTTTTTAATTTTACATGCGAACCCATAGTTTGTTTACTTAAAAGAATGTCTGCCTATAAACACAGATAGTATTTTTAACACATTTAATAAAAAAATTCTCTATTATAAAATGAAAAATTTTAATTGAATTTAATAATAAAAAATTAAATGGAAAGAACTTTTTTCACAAATTCTAAAGAGTTTTTCAACAGTTTTTGTCTTCATTGAAAACATGAAAAATACATTTTGTATCTGAAATTTTGTCATTCTAACATTTTGAAAACAAGCCAGAAATGAAAATAAAAATAATAATAAGAGTTTGTTTTACTCTCTCTTCATTTGTGATATTATATATTAGCACACAAAACGAATATAAATAAATATTCGTGATACAACAACAAGAGTAGTAATAATAACAATTTACATATATAATTTTAAAGAGGGGTTTGAATCAAGTAAGTTCTTGAGATAGTCATGCACAACTGTTACAAATATCACCAAACATCCATCCATCCATCCGTATTTGGTTCAACTGTTTGTGATTATTGAACTGTAAGTGTTAATGTCTATTTGAAAACAGAGTTCTTCTCTCCAGAGTCATACTCCAGAAACCAAATCAGAATAGTTGTAAAGATATCACTATTCAAATAAAAGTGAACCAAACGGATAAGTTTGTAGATTTGGCTTCGTTAATAGTTTTCAAGGATCAGAGCTATTTCAGATCTTTCACTGACCAGAAAAAAAGAAAACTGACACATTGAGATAAAATATAGTTTTCTCCTCGCTCCTCGTGTCATTAGTCATAAAAATTTTAATAATAATATAATTTATGCAGAGAAGTTCTTGATTTATTGTCTGAATAAAATAAGGACATATTTGCCCCACCTATTCAACCCATGTACTATACTCCTAAAAATGTAACTATTCTTCAATTTAACAATTCATTCAACCTATTAGAAATTGTGGTTCGCCAGGTTTTTTTTTTGCAGTAGGTAGAAGGCATCGAAGGCCCCAGTGTGAGACTTGAACCCACTAAAACCAACTCTTAGGAACGAATGCATTGAGCAAACTTCATCCCAGTAATCAGGGGAGAGAGATGTGAACATATAAGCCTAATATCAGGAAATTTCTTACAATCTCTATATAGGATATTTTTGGAGAGAATATATTATAAGAAGTTCTTCAATTTAAAAAACTTTTAACCAGCGATTTTCTATAAAAAATAATTCGTATTATTTGCCACAATTTAAACGGAATTCATGTTTTTCTTTTAACCACCTTTTTACTCCTTCTATTGTTGTTGTTGTTGTTTTTATTATTGTTATTATTATTATTATTATTGTTGTTGTTGTTATTATTTTTGTTGCAATATATGATCGAGTGCATGCACAAAGTATAAGTATATGTAAATATCCACTTGACTGAGCAAGGTGAGATAATACAGTAGTATAAATTTGGTTGGGCGAGAAGTAAATCTATTTGTTTTTAATCTAATTTTATTTACCAAAAAATCTGAACAATATTAAAAATGAAGTGAATACAATTTGTTGTGTCAATTTTATCCATAATTCCTATAAGAAACCGAAGGTTCTTACAAATAGTTTCTTTTGAACTCTCATGGTTGCTAATTACTTAGTTTCATTCGAGCCGTTCCCTTAATGTCGCAACACTTTTCCAATTTCGCTCACTTTTGTGTTCTGTGGGCTTCGGATCTTTTCCAGCCTTTGGATAAAGTTTTCCTTGGCGATGTTTTCTGCATATTCCTCTACATAGATTATGACGAAGTACCCACTTAAATATTCGGGTCATTATAATTTCGATAATTGATGGCGATTAACTCTAATCACAATTTTTGTTAAAGTTTCCTGAGTTTTAGTGAAGATATTTGATATTATTTATAATATAATATAATATTGCCATAATACATATCGGTGAGATTGCTGAATCATATGGATCTTTGCCCTTTTTCATAGAAATAAAAGCGATGAAAATAAAAGCTTCGGCAATAATAGCCGAAGAAGTACACAGTCTTGTTACAATTCAGAATTCACTTTGATGCCACCTGCTGGTATTTTCCGCATTCCGGACAGATCTGTGGACTTTGATTGAAGTCCGGACGATATCTTATATCGTCGTCTTTCCTTTTATGAGAAGAGAGTGCGAAAATTTGCCTAATATAGAAAATTTTGAATTAGTTAAGAATCTATTATTTCCTTTAGTATCATAACCTTTTTCTAATGTCGCAGTGTTACGAGTAGATGCAATCTGTGTTGCTTTGTCCAGTAGTTTTTGCTTTGGTTTTTGATAAAAATGTGAACAGGTAAACAGCTAAACATATATACAAATCATATATATACCGATTTGTATGTTCTTTGATGTCTGCTGAATCGCATTACAAATATCTTAATATACTAAGTACATCTATTATATATGGAAAAATCTGAATTTAATATAAAAAACAAAAGACATTAACATCGAATTTGACAAGACCTTAATACGCTTTACACAGACAGTTATACTAAAAATCGGTTAATCACAGTTATTGCGAAAGTTAAGATATATTATATTTAAATGCACTCTTTATGATAAGGTAAAAGGTTTATAGAAGATCATCTGTTAGTTCTGTAACATAAAAGCTTAACAAAATTAAAGTGCTTGAGGATAGTATTGAATTATTTTTCTAAGTTCTTGAGAAAGAAGATATTTTTCATTGCAAATCATTGCATTTGACATGATACGTGTCCTAAGACATATTGTGCTATAACATCTACATCAGTGACTTTTCGAATATTAATTCTTGAAGAATGATGTTACTTAATATTCATAATAGTTGTACGATCACACAAAAATGCATTTATTTAATTAGAGAATATGTAAAGTTAACGAATTACCTCAATGATCCCTTTTACCCCTTAACCAATATTTTTGGAATAATAATTTAATTGTTCGTAAACATTTACACAAAACGGCAATATAAAAAAGCAAATAAGAGAACTGAGACTCTGGCATAGTATCTAGGGCTCATTAATGGCTAATTCCACTCACGTTTCTGGCATTAGCTACATCAGATTTTCTCCGAAGGTAAACGTGTTCGCAATTTCATATCGCCTAAGTTTGAAAATGTTTAAAAATAAGTTTCCGTAAATAAGTCAGCGCTTTATCTCAGCCGTTCAAATACTGTCATTGATAAAAGCTGGCAAGCGGACGGACAGACTATTGAGCATTTAGCAAATAAAGTTCTTAAGCAGTTTTAAGTCAAAGTATATTTGTTTATGTATAAAAAAGTTCAAAAATTAGTTCCAGATAAGCACTTTGTATAGTTTGCTTTGGGGGCAATATTTTGTAGAATGTAGAATTATTTTAAGATAAAATACATAATTTATTGCCTTTCCAAAAAATGTGAAATAAGCCAAAAATATTCAATATATAGCAATGGAACGCAACGTCTTCATTATTATAACATTATTATTACGATAATAGTCGGGAATTTATAAGTAGAATAACAAAGGGTCCATTCATCTACACCAAAATTTGTTACTTTTCTAAGAAATCTAACACTAAAGACATTATACTATTTTAATGTCAATACTTCGTGACATAAGTTGTGTTGTTATATCCAGTGCAGTAAACTCATAGCATCACCACTCCAGATTTTTAACATACGTTCCTTTTACTTTAGACAATTCAATTTCACGAAAACAACAACAAAAACAAAATATAGGATAAATGTGTTTATAGTCCAATATCGTCAGTTTTTGATTCTGTCTGCAAATTCCCTTCATTTGCATTAATTTTCTCAGAATGGTTCTCATGATATGACATACATATGTGGTGTATGGCATATATTTGGTATACATGATAATATGTAGTGGACACCATAATTTTTATTTGTTAAGTGATCAAAATATACTCGCCGTAAAGAAATTCGGTGTAAAATCTATCAAACTATAAACTGCAAATCTTTTATTCCTTTAAAATCACATGTTCTACTCTCTAACATATACATCAAGTAAATACAGAGTTTAAAGTTATATATGTTTACTTTATAACATATATAATATAATATATATCTGTTAGAAGTGAAACTAACTTTCAGTAAAGTCTACTTATCATATTTACATATACATATTTATGCACTTACATGTACAGAAAGTAACATCCCAGAGAATTACAGAGTTATTTTATTATCGCAGAATATAAACTTAATTATATTCAATAAAGTCTATAGTTAGCCACCACTTTAGAACTAAGCTATGGGATGCATCCATTTTGGCTTGTCATTCTTAAAGGAATTTAGCTTCCATCCATTAACAGAACAATTTTTGATGAAGATACCAGGATATAATAGGACATGTTTCACATTTTCGAAAAGATAACTAAGATTTTTGAAAGATCGATAAGATATTTGTTATTATTCTCCTAATCTGTCATATGAGTAACGTTTCAGTCGTGGTTTCACAACGCAACATTATTGGAGCTTAAATGAGTCTTTGTGCTCAAAACAACGACTTTATAATATAACCTAACAGATAAACCTTATATAATACTCTTATTTTATGTCAAAGTTAACTGCATGCATAGATTCATACAAAGGTCAAGATACTTTTCCCTTTAATAATAGAAGTTGATTATAGTATGTGATGAAAATCATGAATGCTTCAACTGTGATATAGGTATTAAATACAACGTTTAGATAGTTCTTAAAAAAATTGTATATTCGTAAATAAGTTGCTTTTGAAAAGTATACTAATGCTTTTTATCACTATTTATTAATATTCAAAACTATAAATATTAGTGACCTGATAGCAAATGAAGTTGACAGCTATAACTTTAAGCATGTATATTCGTTAATATATTTACGGTACCTCTTAGAGACTTTATATGAGTAATGCTTACTCTTTCTCCATATATATTATATATCTCATATATTCGTATATGATATATATATGCATATATCTATATATATATATAACATGTCTTGTATAAATAATATAGTACTATTACTCCAAATTGAAATATTTGATGAGTATTTATTATGTCCTCGTTTGTCAGTGCAGTTGAGTACTCAGCTTTAACAGAGTTAAAAATAAGGGATTTAAGACAAATTTTTAAATTTTTTAATAGTATGTGAAACGAACTCTACACAAGTTACTTAAACTTCGTCCCTTTATCCTTCTCATTAAATGTTATGTATCTTTCGGACAATATTGAGCCACGTTGGAATCGGATTGCAGCGGGGTTAATTCCAACGAGAACAACAACAATGTAGATAATAATTGCGAGTGTCAATTGCATTAAAATATTTAAGCTAGCATATGGCTTCGTGCTTATTAAAATAAGATCCAATTCAGAGCGATTATGTCAGGTGAAGCCCTTAATTAAATAATATTTTGTGGATGTATAAACATTACATTAATCATGGCACTAAAGGATATTTTATATATGTTTCGCAAAAGGGCATAAAATGCAAAATATTAAACAAAATTGCATACTAAATATGAGTTTAATTCGAAAGTAGTGTCTGTCCATTTGAAGTGGGAAAATAGTATGTGCGAAAAATGCTTTAACTTTCCCGTATTTTTCCTGATTTTTTAAGTTAATGAGTTTTTGAGTGTCTTTTCTTCGGAACCGCTTTTATTCAAGGACATGCACTTACACATGTTTTCCTTGTGATTTATTTTCATTGATGTTTCCGCTGAAATTATACACGTCGCGCACGAGAAGCTTACAATTTTCACACGGCGTTACGCATTCAGGCTCTGAAATATAGTCCGGAAATTGGAAAGCCGAAAGCCGTGTTTTTGTGTGCATAAGTCTGTCGTTTAAATGCAAATGTCCTTTTGGGTAGCTGGTTAAGCGAGTCAGTAGCAAGGATAGTGTCATAAAATGCATCCATTAACGTCCACTGGAATTAATTACATTTTCGAATGAATTCGAAATTAATGCCTTTTGCTCGTTTAATAGCCTTTATTTATTTTAATAACAAGACTCCCATGAGATAACATATAATGCATTGATGTTATCATGTAAATGATAATACATATGTAGGTATGTACTATAATGAAATAAATAAATAAAATGAAATGAATAATGTATTGTGATTGAAAGATCTAGTAATTTTATAAAATCATATCTAGTCCTTTTGGCACGTGACTTTCGATTTGCATATATTTTGCCTGATATTAGATTTCTGCATACATACTTTTTTCACGAGTACATCCCATTACTCTATATCTGCACTGACGACATAGTTTCTTCATTGCAGAATTGAACCCCCACATTATTTACATTTCTAATGAGTTTACAGTAGTCAGTTAAACGCCAAGTCAGTATTCTTAGTCTTTTACTGGAGAAGCCAATCTAGCATATAATTTTTCTATTTTGATAGTTTCCTCATGTTAATTCATGTTTTAAAAATGTTTTAAACCTATAAGACTATATAAGACTAATAGTTCCTTGACATAATACTGTTATTACTTCGTTTTGATGTGATGGCAAATAATTGCCATTAAACTTTTTTTTCTGAAAAGTCCTTCTACTTCCGGTTTTTCCTGGATCCCTGTGTGTCCAGAAGCAAACTTATTATTGTGTCTCTGTGTTTGTGGTTTTTAAACATATTAACCAGTAGTTTTAGTAGACGTTTTCAAACCCGATTTTTACATACTTTTTTGTCCTCATTGTCCTGATTAGGTAATACATTCTTAATTTCTAATGTGCCCTCTTTTTCATCGTTACTTCGTTATATGTACTTGTTAAACAGCTGATGGGAACTTAATCTTGATTTCAATATCGCATTTAACTTTTGTCGTGTGAGTAGGCTTTTCGTGTATTCGTACAATTTGAATAAACTGTTTTTTAACGAAAAATTAACTATTTATTTTTTAACTTAATTTAGCTATGTGTAATGTATATTTTAATTCAAATTTATTTCTTTTTTAGCTAAATGAGGAGTTAAGTTCAATTTCACTTAAATAAAAAAATCTAAGCTACAATCAACACAAACAAAAATGTATGATAGTTTCTGATATGTGAAGTGAAATACAAATGAATATAAATAAATAAATAAAAAAATGAAAGAAAAGAAATAATAAAATAAATAAATTGTAAAATATTTATGAATAAATTTGAGAAAGTTTATTTAAGGAAGAACAAAAAAACAATAAAACACTATACAATTGGCACAACGGCGATAATTAGTTTAATTGAAATTATTTTATATCTGAGCGACGAAAGTTAATCTGCAGATACTCGCAATCTACAAACGCAATCGGTGCAGATTTTCATCTGAAGTTTATAGCGCGAATAATTTTACCGCTTTTATTGTTTTTGTTGTTTTTGTTGTTTTTGTTGTTTTATTTTTGTTTTGATATTAATGTCTGTGAATAATTATATATAATTACACATACATATATAATAAATGCAATAAATGTTTTACACAGTTTCTGTGCCAGTTTATTTATTATTTTTTCTCGAAAGTTTCAAGTATATCTATTTGCCAGTTGCAGCTACAGCTGCAACTGCGACTGCAACTGCAACTGCAACAGCATTGATTGTGCGTGCATAAATAATAAGAAGCAATTTAACTAAATATTATTAACAAATTAATAGAAACAAATTAATAGATTTTCATCTTTCAATATAAACATTAGTTTTTTTTTTTTATTTTTTATTTTTTTTATTTTTTTGCATAAATAAATAAATATTTTTGGCAAGTTTTTATTGATAGCTCCGCTCCGGTGTATCTGAAGCATTAATTAATAAGCCAAAAAGCAAGCAAAGCCTTGAAGGTAAACAGAGTAAGCGTAGTCGTGAAGCGGGCGAGAAAGTGTTATGTAGAGCGAAAAAGCGTTTCATGAAAGTGAATAATACTATGTATTTGTATATTTGCTCAATGTTTAATTAAAATATTTGCAGTGTACACTGTACACTGTACACTGTACACTGAGCAAATACACCGCACGATATGACAAATAAGTTAAAATTGCTGCTGCCTCCATAAAAACGGCGTGTAAAAAGCATTAAAACATAAATAAACTGCACATTTTTTCGGGTGCTTTCGGGTGCGAGCAAAAAAGGCCATCAATAAAAAATTAAAACATAAAATACTACATAAGACTTAATATATATTTTATATTTGCTTTTGCGATTTTTAAATATTTATAGTTAATAAAAAAAAATTGAGAAAAAATTTAAATGTATTTTTTTAAATCCTCCCAAAGGCAATAAATTTGAACGCCAACAAGCGGCAAACAACAGCTCAACAAGCAACAAATATCACAGATATCAGCAATCAACAGCACCGCCATCCACTCGCAACTGCAGCAGCCAGCAACAAACGGCAGCCCCGAATATCTACTAGCAACATTTTCTTTCCAATCCAAACTTTAAAAGCAACCATCGCCAGCAAAATGCGACGAAATGTTAAATTAGTTGTTTTTGTGAGTGTGATTTGGATGTTCGTCATGATTTACTTCTTCCAATCGAACACTGAAAAGGTAAGAGCACTATTTCCCATTACATGTACACAAGTACACAATAAACACATTTTTTTTTGTTTTTTTGATAAATTCAAGCATCATTAGTAAGCAATAACAGACATATCTACATAACATAGTCCAAGCCGATTTCTTGTTTGATCGGCTTTAGCTTTTGTGAATCTCAATAACATATGTCTCTAATTCCAAAACTTTCCCAACAAACATCATCGTTTTAAATGCAGCGAACGCTACGCACAAGGCGTCGTTGCATGCATGAGAATTGGCTCATTAAGTTCATTAGTTCTGATTAAAACGCTTAAAAAATAGAAACCAAATGCCGCAAGTTGTACGTGTCGAGATAGAAGATACAAAAGCCATAGAGTCGATACTTTGTTACTTTAATTTATGTGCTCTAAGCGTACAAAACATTCTACAAAGAACGAAATACTTGGCGTGAAATTAGAAGATGGAAAAGTCGGGCGGGCTTCTCCATCTTCGTTGCTATTCCTTTGCTTGCTTTCTTCACACTGCACTGTAGTTTCGCTCAAATTAACAAATTAAATACTAAAATTAAGAAAAATTAATTTGTATTCTTTTTGTAGCGAAACTAAAACATTTTTAATTAACTACGAATGTGAAGCACTCCTCTGCTCTGAAATAAGAGAATGTCTTCACTTTCGTCGACGCACTGAATGTGCTTTTTGCTGCAATTATCTGCTCCCTTTTAGTGTGCATTAATGTGTTGAATTCCTCAAAGTGCACACAGTTCAAGTATCTAAAAAAAAATCTTATACATTAATTTGAATTGCTCTCGTCATTTAAAATTTAGTTAAGAAATTAGGAACTACTATTTGTCTGAAGAAATTATCACACATACACATAAGTCATTATGGCCTCATAATTAATTGAAGAGGAAATACCATAAAGATACGTAGATAGATTGTGTCGTTAACAGTTAATATTGAAAAAAGTGATTAAGAAGTTAAAAAGTATAAAATAGGTTAAGAAATAACATTGTCGATATTTAAATTTAAAAACATATTAAAGCGAAATATCGATCATTTTTAATATTCAACACTTTGTACTTCAAAATGGAAAGGTTGAAAGATTTTCAATACCATAATTAATGAATAATGCGGAAAGATTTTCAGACTCTCTAATCATGGGAGCTGTCCTCATTTAAGTCCTATAACTTAATAATAAATGTATAATAAATGTGAAATGTTTAAAAACAGATAATGGATCTTTAAAGTTTCACTTAAGCGAAGTTGCCACACTTTAATTTGTGGCAATCCTAGTATATATCGTTGTATATAATAGGTATTAAATGCTTAAACAAAAAATGGATATTTTCAGTCTCATTCAAGCAGAGTTCATACACTTTATTTTTTGATAATTCTAGTACATATCGTTGTATATAATAGTTATTAAATACTTAAACAAAGAATGGATCTTTTTAGTCAAGCAGAGTTGCCACACTTCGATTTATGGCAATCCCAGCACCTATCTTAGTACATAAAAAATGTTATATGCTTAAAACTAAAATCATAGCACTTGACAGATAATATATGTCTATAATTCTTTATATATACTATTTTGACTATCTACATTACAAAGCTCCAGGTTCATTACAAAGTCCCAGATGCATGTAAATTATTTTCGTATTAAAACAAGTTCGTGTGTCGATATTTACTCAAAATAATACACAATGCATATCAACTTACTAGAGATTGACTTTATATCGAATAGGTATTAAATCCTCTCACTTGTCAGCACTACGCATTTGGTTTGAGAATGACAGCAAGTTATTGGAAAGAAAAGAATTAAAGACAAAGAATTCACGTCATATATATATATACATATATTCTTGACTTGTCTATTTATTTCACTTCTTTTATATTATGGATGCCTAGGATGACTTTCTCTAAGATAACAAAATTTTAATAGCATTTAATCGTCTGCAGGGCTAATGTATGTAGATGATTCTTTAAAAGTGAAAATTGAAGTAATGTATTCATGTACAAAAGTTGGTACATAAAAAAAAAATCGGTAGCGTAATCTGAACAATCTATCCAATTATAATTGTATGGTCTATTTAAAACAATATACTTAATAGCAAAGTGAAGTGAGGTTTAAAGGAACATTAACACTTATACTCAGAGACAACTAATACCCATTGCAATATTTCTCTCTCTCTCTCTCTCTCTCTCTCTCTCTCTCTCTCTCTCTCATTGCACTAAGAAACGCCATTGACAACAACAACAAATTACATACTAAAAAAGTCGCAAAAATCGGTTTACTATATATTATGTTGTGTTGCATCATTGTTCTTCTCTACGAAAATCGACCACAGCATTGAAGTTCCCATAAGGAAGTGAGCTTTACTAACCTTTTTTTTCTAACATAACTCCTTGCGTTATTCCTGTTAAGCTATTTGAATTTTCAGAAGAAATCAAGTAAGCGAAAAAGGTCAAGTAATTCTAATTTCGTCATCTCTAGGAGATCCGTGATGAAACAGTCTCCTAAACATTAATGCCGCTAATGCTTAGCGGTAATATAATGTATTCTAGTGCCATAAAATATATTTGAAATATTAATAATTAAACATGGTATATGCATACATAAATACATGCATATTTGTGAATGTATATGTATATTAGGCGGAACGCTCATGGTAGCCTTGTACAATGTAGCAACAAATCTTTTAATAAAAAAATAATTAGTTAAGTAATAAAAATGCAATAAATAAATGCCAAAATAAAAAAAAATAATTTTTATTATTATTTTAGGTATTTTTTTGTAGTTTCTATACATATATGTATGTATGAATTTCTACCTTTTGCACAAACGTTTAAAATCATAAAACTATTATCTATTTTTCCACAGAAATGTTTTTTCTAAAAGAAAAATATTAAGTTCTTTGAAAGGACGGAACAGAGTTAAATAAAGCCGAAAAAAAATACCAGGAATTTAATAAAAAAGCCAAAAATAATTAAATAATAATCCATTTTCATTCCTCTCCTACCGTTTATCGTTTACATTTCGTGACCAAATGGATCTGTCAGCTATCATACAAAGCGATTTTACCTCACTCAGCTTAGCTGAAAAGTTAACCAAAAACCAACAACACCAACAACACCAACAACAACAACAATAAAAACCAACAAACTCTTTACTTTATGTCTCTTCTATTGCTTCGCTCATTTTCTATTGTTTCTTTTTTTAATATTTTGCATTAATTATTGCTTGATTAGAAGCTATACGCTAACAACAAATGAGCAATAACAGAAACAATGCAAATTACTATTGTAATACTTTTATTGTGGCTGTTTTGTTAACAAACATTGTTGTTGCTGCTACTGCTACTGTTACTACTTCTGCTACTACTACTACTACTATTATACTTTGTACTACTACTCGTTGGTGTGTTTGTTGTTGCTTTCGCTGTTATCAACTTGCGTACTCTGAATATTACACATTGTACTACACAATAATTTAGCTTTTCCTTGTTTTTAGTTTATTTGTTGTTTTAATGTTTAGTGTGCTTCGTTTTACAACTACAAAGATTATTACAAGATATGCTGCCAATATTTGTGTTGTTATTCTTCTTCTTCTTGTTGTTGTTGTTGTTGTGCTAATTTTTTTGGTGTTGCTGTTGTTGCTAGTTTATTGCCACAATAACCGTTATACTAAATGCATATATTTGGTGTATAAGTCAAAATATTTTGCCTCCGCACCCACGCCTACGCCGACATATACAAAAGCAGTGGCGGTTGTTAAAAATTCTTGAGTAGTTTTCAGTGACTCAAAGGTTATTCGGTAATTTTTTTTAAATATTCAAACTACGAATAATTTGTGATTTGCATAGTAATGAGTAAATTTTTTTATGGAAGTATAAGAACAGTTCAATCGTCTGCAAATATTTAAGCAGAGAAAGTATTGGATTAATACTATATTAATTCAACAACAATACAGTAGCGATTGAATATCAAAATCATATGACAAAAAAAATTTTATTTAAACTATATGGGTACGCCAAAATTGCATTTCACCCATAGCAGGCATTTCTTAATATCAGATTGATTAAATCAGATTGATGACATTTAGTAGACGGAGACGAAAGGAGTGAAATCTGCATGTTTATAGAATAGAAAATCATCGTCTGGTCAAGATTATAATGGAAGAGAAACCAACAGTCGCGAGTTTTCCCGGTCGACCGCCGAAGAGATGGTATAATTGTTGAACGTCTGGCTCTACATAAACATTATAATATGATATGTCAAAATTTTATATAAATATATCCAATTCAATTGTTGTAACAAAAAAGGATTTAATTCCACCATAAAGAAGAAGAAAATTGATTGAGTATTTTTTGCCAAGATCAAAGCGAGAAAGCTATAAAGAACGAACCTGGGGGTTCCTCTTATCCGTTTCCAATCAGGACGACACAACACTTATTTTTCCAACTTATTTTATGAGATGATAAAGCAGGCCATAATAGCCCACAATGCTCAGATGATGGTCCAAAATAAAGTACACTTATGTCCATGTTTAAATTGTAACATTTAAATAAACCAAAAATTCGACAACGGAAATATAGGTGGATTGGACACATGTCACGAAAAAGCACAAAGGACGTAGAACATGCGGCATTAACCTGAAATCCACGAGGCTTAGAACCATAACCAATAAAACGAATAAATCGATAGGTAGAATGAGATATATCGCTCAAGATAAACAAAATTGCAAAACTCTTTGTGGATAGGCTACGTTTATACAATCAAATATTGTATAGAACATACCATAATAAAATATAAATATAAAAATTAACACTATTAAAAATTTTTAGTATTCCTAATTTGAATAACCAATAAACTAAGTTGCAGAACTGAAACGATAATAATAACCGCAGCGGATAATCACTCAACTCGAATGCTTGAAGTCCCAGGTTTCGCTATCACTGAGCACAAATTTTTTGTGTCTTGTTTTGGTATTAATTTATTTTTTTTTTTAAGTTA